AAAATATATTTTATTGATTTTTTACAGAGAGGAAGGGAGAGGGATAGAGAGTTAGAAACATCAATCAGCTGCCTCCTGCACACCCCTTACTGGGGATGTGCCCTCAACCAAGGTACATGCCCTTGACCGGAATCGAACCCAGGACCTTTCAGTCCGCAGGCCGACGCTCTATCCACTGAGCCAAACCGGTTACGGCATGGAATTTTTTTTTAAGTAGCTATGAGGAATGACAAAGTTGTACAAAGTCACCCATGATGATGATGATGTTGCTTTGTTTCCTGCTATCATACAGAGTGGCAGAACTTTGCAACATGATGGGTTAGGGTTGAAATATTGCAGTCTGCCAGAGAATAGCTTATAATTCTTCCCAGGGGTCTGACACTTTTTGGAGGGGAAGGTTGGTTGGTTTTTATGTGGCTGTACAGTAAGTCCTCACTTGATATCATCAATAGGTCCTGTGAGTTTTAAGCAAAATGTTGTATAAGGAAACCAGTTTTTCATAGGCTATTTGGTAAATTCCTATGACATCTCATCGATGTTATAACAAAATGTTACTCAAAGACCTGCTGTATCCTATTGATAGGCATTAGGATTATTTTTTTTCTCAGCATTTTGTCATTATAGCAAGGTATATTGAGCATCCTTGTACATTAATGTTTGTGCGTGTGTGATTATAAACCTTTAGGATAAATTCTGAGAAACGCTACCCTTGTTCGTGTAGTTTAGTGTGTTGTGGGAGGTGGACGTTATTTAGAACATTATGTAAAATGTCAAGCCAGAAGTAATGTAAAGAAAGGTTAAGAGTGGCTCTACAAGTAGACTCTTGGGGTTCAGGTCCTATTTCATCACTTAGCAGTGTGACCTTGGGTGAATGACTTAACATTTCCATTCTTTTTTTTAAAAATATATTTTATTGATTTTTTACAGAGAGGAAGGGAGAGGGATAGAGAGTTAGAAACATCAATCAGCTGCCTCCTGCACACCCCTTACTGGGGATGTGCCCTCAACCAAGGTACATGCCCTTGACCGGAATCGAACCTGGGACCCTTGAGTCCGCAGGCCGACGCTCTATCCACTGAGCCAAACCGGTTAGGGCTTAACATTTCCATTCTATAAAATGCAGATAATAGTGCTACTTTTCCTCTTAGAATTTCAAGGATTACTAAATTCATACATACATGTAACATGCTTAGAACGTGTAGTAATAAATACTCTGAATGTAAGTTATTAATGTACGAAAAAGGCAAAGTTAGATTTATATTAGAGGAACCTGACAGTTGAAAGAGGTGTTGGACATAGCAAGGAGACGTCTGAAAGATGAGTTAATTAGGAAATGCTGAATTAATCAAGTATGCAGTGCTGAGAAGGGGTCAGTGTGGCTGAAGTGCAGACAGGCATGGGACAGGAGGCTAGAGCTCTAGCTTTATAGATTTGTTTTGGTATCTGTTCTGAGTATAAACCAGTAAAAACTTTGTGTGGGGGCAATAACATGGTCAGATTTGGGTTTATGAGAAAGCACTTTGGCCGATAGAGCAGTTTTATTTTCAGTGGGGAAGGGTTCTGTGGCAGAAGGCAACCTGAGTGGATGTGGGAAATCCCTGGGAGGTTATTGTAGCACATCAGTTGGTAAGAGAGAGGACTGATAGTGAAAGATACTTGGATTTGAGGAAAATGAAGGACAAAACTGTGATGAACTGATTTTATAGAGTTGAGAGTCCTGGAGTTTTGCATATAGAACTACACTAAAACAGTAGCCACTTGTGGATATTTAAAATTAAATACAAATTTTAAATTATGTTCCTCAGTTGTGCTAGCTGTATTTCAGGAGCTCAGCCATAAGTGGCTAGTGGCTGCTGAATTGGACAACGCAGATTTTAGAACATTGCTGGTGTCACAAAAAGTTCTATTGAATCATATTGGTTTGGATGATGAAATTCTATTTTCTAATTCGGATTATTGACATTTTGCAAAGAAAGAAGGAAATTGTCAATGGTATTCTTTTTTTTTTTTAATATATTTCATTGATTTTTTACAGAGAGGAAGGGAGAGAGATAGAGAGAAACATCGATCAGCTGCCTCCTGCACATCTCCCACTGGGGATGTGCCCGCAACCAAGGTACATGCCCCTGACCAGAATCGAACCCGGGACCCTTCAGTCCGCAGGCCGACGCTCTATCCACTGAGCCAAACCGGTTTCGGCATCAATGGTATTCTTTAAGGCAAAACCCAGTAACACTGTTTCTACAGAAGATGTGTTAACTCTCATATTAAGCATTTAATAGTCCCAGTACTTTACCCGAGGAAACGTTTAAGGATTTGCTCCCCTCAGTCTTTAATCCCTGCGGGCCTTGCTTTGATGTGAAGTTAGAGGAGAGGCATAAGGTAATTCTGTTCCCGGGGGTCCACCCCTAGGACATCTGTTTCAACATGTTCAGTGATGAGCTTTTTTTGGTCTAACTATTCTTCCTTTTTTAAAAAAATATATTGATTTCAGAGGAAGTGAGAGGGAAAGAGATAGAAACATCAATGATGAGAGAATCATGGATCGGTTGCCTCCTGCATGTCCCCTACTGGGGATTGAGCCCGCAACCTGGGCATGTGCCCTGACCAGGAATTGAACTGTGACCTCCTGGTCCATAGGTCAATGCTCAACCAGTGAGCCACGTTGGGCAGGTCTAAATATTTTTAATCCATGCCTTATTGGGATTTGGGGTTTATTAAATATTGGATACTACATGGTCTGATTGTGGCCATGTTAGCAGCTCTCTGTGGATATGATGGCAGTAAAGTCAGTCCTTATAGTTAAAGAGCATCTCTGTTGTTCATAGCTTTCTAATCGTCTTCCTGAAACATAAAGCCCTGGCTTGGTGTCAGGTTATTTGGTTCAGAGCATATCTTGGATGTGGTGGTGGTGTTTTTAACTACCATATGTGGAGTTTTTTAAAACTTGGTGGAAAAAACAGTAGTGTAATTCTTTTTCCTTTAAAAAAATATTTTTTATTGATTTCAGAGAGGAAGGGAGAGGGAGAAAGAGATAGAAACATCAATGAGAATCATTGATTGGCTGCATCCTGCATGCCCCACATTAGGGATTGAGCATGTAACCCAGGCATGTACCTGATGGGGAATTGAACTGTGACCTCCTGGTTCGTAGGTCTATGCTCAGCTACTGAGCTACACTGGCCAGGCTGTAGTATGGTTCTTAATGTACAGGGTGGGGCAAAGGTATGTTTACAGTTGTTTGTATAGAAAATATAGTAAATAATAATATAGGAATGAACTGTTTCGTGTACTCACAACTATAAATGTAATTTTGCCCTACCCTATATATTTAGTGGTAGAATATTTCTTGGCTTTTTCCTGCTTCTCTCCTCTGATCTTCATTGTTTAATAATAAAATTCTGAAGTGTTTTTACCTTTGGAGAGATAAGAGTTGGACTCTTTAAGAGTCACTGTGTTTGGTAGCTGTTCCTTTAAAGTAGGTGTGACCACTGTGGCATTCAAAGTCTTCCTGTCCTATAGTATTTATTGAATAAAGAAACTTGCCCTAACCAGTTTGGCTCAGTGGATAGAGCGTCAGCCTGTGGACTCAAGGGTCCCAGGTTCGATTCCGGTTAAGGGCATGTACCTTGGTTGCGGGCACATCCCCAGTGGGGAGTGTGCACGAGGCAGCTGATCGATGTTTCTAACTCTCTATCCCTCTACCTTCTTCTCTGTAAAAAAATCAATAAAATACATTTTTTTAAAAAAAGAAAGAAACTTCACCACTACTGATCTCCCTGCTTCCTTTGCAGACTGACATCAACTTGCCATATCTTACAATGGATGCATCTGGACCTAAGCATTTAAATATGAAGCTGACCCGGGCTCAGTTTGAGGGGATTGTCGCTGAGCTAATCAGGAGGACCATCGCCCCATGCCAAAAAGCTATGCAAGATGCAGAAGTCAGCAAGAGTGACATAGGAGAAGTGATTCTTGTTGGTGGCATGACTAGAATGCCCAAGGTATGGATGGATCCATGGAATTCTCAACATGGCAAGCAGAAAGGACCTGCATGTTTTCTGGGGGGAGACAAATGGCTTATGTGTAGGGATATGAATATGTGGCCTTTCTTCCATGGTAATCCAGAAAGGATGAATTTGTGCTTTAACTGAAGAGTTCTTTTCAGCCTCTTTTTTAAATTCAAGGATATAAGAAAAAGAATTAGGAAGGGCAAAATGTCCTTGGGGTGGTGACTGGGAGGATTCTGAACTTCAGTCTTGAAGAATTTTTAGGAATGAACATGAGGTCAGAGATAGCTTAAAACCTTGATACTACCCTGGCCGGTGTGGTTCAGTTGGTTGGGCACCATCCTGTGCACTGAAAGTTTGCTGGTTTGATTCTCAGGTAGAGCATATGCCCAGGTTGATGTTTCTCTCCTTTCTTCTCTAAAAAATCAGTTAAAAAGTATATGTATTAAAACCTTGACACTAACTGGCCTCTGTGGAATAATTTTGGACATGTGTCTTTACAGCATAGTATTTAAGGCTTTTAATTAATTGTAACTCTTCAACAGATTTGTGCAATGATGCATTCTATTCATCAACACATCATTCTGAAAAGACAGGTGTGTAGAAAGTTAATGACTGAGCACGGAAACTGTTGAAGATGCAATTCTTTATGACTTTCATGGAATTATCTTGGGCCTTGATATTAAATTTTCAAGTATGTGGGCTTAGGAAAATATGCACAGAATAAATCTGGAGAGAAAACAAGAGGCTTTGGACCTGGATGATTCTGTTAGAAATATCCTAGATGCTATTTAAATAGCACTTTTCCCTAGCATTATTTAGAAAAGGAGGGAAGAGCATGTCCCATGTTAGCACCACTGTTGTCATGGTATGATCTCTGCACTGCTTCCTTTTAGTTGGTTTTTAGTTGATATGTAGATCAGCTACCTCCTGCATGCCTCCTACCGGGAATCAAACCCATAACCTTTCTGTATAACAGACAATGCTCAACCAACGGAGCCATACCAACCAGGGCTACACCATTTCTAATGCAATGTATTGTATGGGAAACCAGATAACAAACTTAGACTAATTCTTCCCAAATTTAACGGGCTATGAATGACATATGTGAGTAAAGTATATGAGTGTTACCTACATAATATACTCAGATCATTAACAAGAATTCAACTATGAAATACTAGTAATTTGAGTGAAATTCTTGGATCTGAAGCAACTTGTCCTGCGATTTGTTATGGTCTTGGGACAGGTGTGTTCTCTTCCCCCATCTTGGGCAATTAGTTGCTTTGAGTAGTGGGTGACAGGTTCTTTTTTCTTGGTGCTCAGGTTCAGCAGACTGTGCAGGATCTCTTTGGCAGAGCCCCAAGTAAAGCTGTCAATCCTGATGAGGCTGTGGCCATGGGAGCTGCCATTCAGGGAGGTGTCTTGGCTGGTGATGTCACAGATGTGCTGCTACTGGATGTCACTCCCCTTTCTTTGGGTATTGAGACTCTGGGAGGTGTATTTACCAAACTTATTAACAGGAACACCACTATTCCAACCAAGAAAAGTCAGGTAAGAGCCTCCCCTTTCTACCTTGTCACAGAGATTACTAGGTTCTGTGAGGGATGTGATCGGAGCCATTTTTGTGAACTTTTCCTAGAAAACTTCACTCTTTAACTTACCAAAAGAAACCTCATCATTTGGGACTAAATTCTCTATATTCTTCTGTTCTCAAAGGCAATAAAAAGAATGGCCTGACCAAGACAGTGCAATGAGCTTCTATTATGGGTGAATGATGGGTGTCCTGCGATGCCAGGCAGGGCTATTTGGACAGTGACTTGGGTCTTTGGATTAAGAATGATGTCTTGACTTTTCTAATTTTGATGTTTTTATGAAAAACTGGCTATTGCTGTATTTGTGCTGTGATGTATTGTCAACACATCATTCTGAAGAAAAGTATGTGGTGACGTCCTGTGACTGAGCACAAAATGCATGTCCTATCTCTGACCTGTTTCCCCAAATGAGCATGTTTCAACATCTCATTTTTTTGGCACTTTCTCTTGAGGCCTTCTGTGCCAATGCTGCATCTTTTTACAGTGCGTTTGCTTAGAGAAACAATAGCTATTGGGTTCCCTTTTGCTGTGCTAATCCTACTCCTGTTCCCAGCAAAAGACATAAGCCTTTGTTCTGAAAATTGTGTACATTAGGACTCTTCCAGTATTACAGTGTGAGTTTCTTTGGCTTGTCCTCTGTGTAAGGGGAGTAGTTTAATTAGATAGCCAACCCAGAAAGTTTCTTTTTCCCTAGGTGTTTTCTACAGCCGCTGATGGTCAGACTCAGGTGGAGATTAAAGTGTGCCAGGGTGAGAGAGAGATGGCTGGAGACAACAAACTTCTTGGACAGTTTACTTTGGTAGGTACTGGGAATCCTAAATATGCTCCTCATTCTTTTTTATTGTACAGTTAGACTATATTTCAACCCCTATTAATATTACTATAAATTGCTGAAACACAGGTAGTCTGTTATCTTAACATAGTGTACACACAAATTCTGCAACTGAAGAGCCCTTGGCTTCAATTTTTACCTGAAAGCCTTGCTTGTGCCTTAGGAACTTTAAGAATATTATAAATATACTAGAGGCCCAGTGCATGAAATTCGGGGGTGGTGGGGAGAGTGATCCCTCCCTTCAGTCTGGCCTGTGCCCTCTTGCAGTCTGGGACCCCTTGCTCCTTAACACTTGGCTTGCTGCTCCTTAGTGCTGCTGCAGAGGCAGGAGAGGCTCCCACTGCTGCACTCGCCAGCCGTGAGCCCAGCTTCTGGCTGAGCGGCCCCTCCCCCTGTGGGAGCGCACTGACCACCAGGGGGTAGCTCCTGCGTTGAATCAACTAGTTGTTCCGCCATAACGGTTGCTTAGGCTTTTATTATATAGAGTAGAGGCCTGGTGCACGGATTCGTGCACTGGTGGGGTCCCTCAGCCTGGCCTGCGCCCTCTCACAATCTGGGACCCCTTGGGGGATGTTGGACTGTGGGTTTCAGCCAGATCCCTGCAGGCTAGGCTGCACCACCGCAGCTATGCTTGCCAGTCATGGGCCCAACGGCTGGCTGAGTGGCCCCTCCCCCTGTGGGAGCACACTGACCACCAGGGGGCAGCTCCTGTGTTGAACATCTGCCCTGTGTTGGTGAGTGCACATCATAGCGTTTGGTTGTTCAGGCTTTTATATATATAGATAGAAGATATAAGACAGGGAAGTGTTCATAGATAGTGCTAATTAGGAGAAATTTTTGGTTACTAATTTAAGAGACATTTGATATTATTGACTTCTAATTAGTATTGCTTACTGGTTCTTGGTGAGATGAACAGTAATGAGATTTGCTATTATTCATTGTGTCCCCAAGTACATAATAATTATGATTACTTGCTATAATCAGCCTTTATTGGTATAAGCCCTGTTTATTTCAGGTAGCAATGAAGTACTACCTGAAGTACTTTACTTATAAACCTGTTTTTGTACATTTAAGTGAAACTATAGCTGGTTCCTCCCTGGAACCAAGTGACTTGTTCCACAGAAGAATGTATAGGTTTGAAACTAGAGCACTGCACCTCTTTGTGAGAAGAGCTTAATCTGTGTATTTACTTACTTACTTTAGATTGGAATCCCCCCAGCCCCACGTGGAGTCCCTCAGATTGAAGTTACATTTGACATTGATGCCAATGGGATTGTACATGTTTCTGCCAAAGATAAGGGTACAGGACGCGAGCAGCAGAGTAAGTGTTCTTATTTATCAGACTGTTAGGATGAGGTAAGAGGCCTTGGAATTTCTTTCTGTTGGGAACTAGACCCTCTAGGTTGTGCATATCTTTTTCTAGCTTCGGGAGAATGAGTACTCTTTGCCCCTTTTCTCAATTATCAGATTCACATTAACAGATGTGTTTATTCCCCCAAATAGGCAAGCACTGAGCCTCTGGATTGCTGAGCTTATTAAAGTTTTGGGGGATTGGCAGGATAGTTGGTCTTTGTGTATATCAGACCTTTGTTTCCTTCTGTCTATTATAGGACAGTAGGGTATTCCTCTTCGTAATTTACATCAAGATTGGCTATTCTGAGCAGGCGTATTGTTTTTCTCAATACAAATAGAGGGTGAGATAAATAATTTTACCAGGGAAGTAACAAAATGCTTTCTTTTCACTGTAGTTGTGATCCAGTCTTCTGGTGGGTTAAGCAAAGATGATATTGAAAATATGGTTAAGAACGCAGAGAAGTATGCTGAGGAAGACAGGCGAAAGAAGGTGATTGGTACTTTCTGTCTTTTCAGCTGGGAGATGAAAGTAGGAGTTTAGACATTTATCTTTGATCTTCTATCTTCTGATACCCTCAATCTATCCCCTTTCCCCCTTTGTTGTAACTTATGTAGAATGCCTTTATTTATTCCAAGTCTTCCTATATTGATTTTTGTTATAAAAATTCAGCTAAAATCTTTCACAGACATCAGACTAGCTCACACCAACCACAGTGATTTCTCCCCCTTACTGTTTTTACTCTAACTATATGTAGCAGTCAGCATGTTGTCTTTCTCAGTGAGGACTTTCAGCCAACCAATTGGGAAGTCTTCAATTTCTAATGTCTCTTAGGAACGAGTTGAAGCAGTTAATATGGCTGAAGGAATCATCCATGATACAGAAAGCAAGATGGAGGAATACAAGGACCAACTGCCTGCTGATGAGGTGAGCCCTCTTTTATAATACAATAGTTCAAGAAGTTGGGAGGCATTGTCACCAATGTCAATGAAGTTTGTCTGTGTGGGTCTTGATTGGAATTTAGTTTTTAAAAAATGTTTCTGAATATTACGGCTTCATGTAATAGGATAAGAAAACCCCAAAAAGTGAGGGCTTTGTTTTGTTTTGTTTTTAAGTGCAACAAACTAAAAGAGGAGATTTCCAAAATGAGAGAGCTCCTGGCTCGAAAAGATAGTGAAACTGGAGAAAACATAAGGCAGGCAGCATCTTCCCTTCAGCAAGCATCATTGAAGCTCTTCGAAATGGCATACAAAAAGGTACAAGGACTGAAGGGTGTTTTGCTCAATGACTTATTTTCCTTCTCATCTGATCTTAATATAACTGCTCTTGATGACTCACTGATGGCTCCCTACATCGCCATTTTATAGAACTGGGCGTGTTGAAAATATCCTTCCTTCTTGACTCTACTTTGTGAGGGAGGTCAAAGGGAAGGAGTCACAGAAACCACCAATAGTGTACTGGGAGGGTGGGGGTGGGATAGGTGGGATATGGCTCCAGAGAGCAAGCTATCAGACTTAACATTAAATGAGTGACTGTCAAATGTTTTCTTAACAGATGGCCTCTGAGCGAGAAGGCTCTGGAAGTTCTAGTGCTGGGGAACAAAAGGAAGATCAAAAAGAGGAGAAACAGTAATAACAGTAAACTTTGGAGCCAAAAGGACAACATATGGCGCTTGGGAGTGAAGGGACTTCCTGAGCAGAAATGGGCAGACTTCGTCTTTTACTGTGTTTTTGCAGTATTCTATATATAATTCCCTTAATATGTAAATTTAGTGACTTAGCTAATGATCATTTAATGAGTGGTAATTCCAACAGTAACAAAGCTCACAATGTTCTGTCTGTCCCTAGCCTATCATTTTTTAGCTGCACGAAAAGGGAAGGTGATGATTTATTGATTGTAAAGACTTAACATTGTTTTGTGCTGAAATACCTCTATTTCCAAGGGGTGAAACCATCCCACACACAACAATGAAGGTAGTCAGACCTGGAATAAAACCAACTGGGGATTTAAGACACTCAACTGCCATACCAGCCTGTGTGTATACATGGGATCCTTCAACTGAGGCCTTGCAAGACAAGCCTGTTGTGTCACATTCAGAGGTAGAGCAGGGGAAGCTAAGCTATTTATGTTAGGTACAGCTTTTAAACAAGGTAATAAGGCTCCCTAATTTTCCTATGGCACACTTTTATAGCTACCTTCTGGCCTTTGGCACCTGTACCCTGGATTATTCTTTTTGATCCATTCTGGATTTTTTTTAAAAATAAATATGAAAAGCATCTTGATCTCTTGTTTGTGAGGGGTGAGGCTAAGTACAACTCTGGGTCTGAGGTTTTTTTGTTGATTTCTTTTAGCTCCATCTTTTATTTGGAATGTTAAAAGTCTAGATCTCTATCTAGCATGAAAACAGGCTACTATTTTCAGGTTGCTTTCAGTTCTAAGTAGCTGTATATAAATCTAGTAGTAAACCCTAAGTTACAAGTTTAATGGCTCAATAATGTTAGGTACTGGTAATTACCATATTTGCTTTCACCCTCAGCACATGGCTAGTCTTATCTTAAATTATGATGTAGTTCTGATTACCACGTGCTGACAACTTCAGAAGCAGAAAGGTGACTGCATCTTTCTTATATCTAAGTGTTAAGAATTTTTCCCCAAAAGTCTCCCAAGAGAAGATTTATCGTATGTCATTCCTGCAGGATTCATAGGGCTTAGATCCCATCAGAGGTCATGCCTTTTAATTTGTGGTGATATTTAGAAATGAAACTCATAAATACTTTAAAACTCAATACAATGAGCCTCTGGATGGGTAAGCTCAGTTGGTTAAGGTGTCTTTCCAGTAGGCCAAGGTTGTAGGTTCAAATTACAGTTGGGGTCTATACAAGAAGTATCCAATGAATGCATGAATAAGTGGAACAACAAATTGATGTTTCTCTCTTCCTCTCAAATCATTTTTTAAAAATTAATACAGTACTGTAATGTGAAGGACATTGTTTACATGATAATTACATTCCTGGAAAATTCGTCATTGACAGCCATGTAAATACTTTCTTGAGATTCTCGTAAAAAATAAATTCTAGGTTCAACTTCTCAGCCAGATGGACACTTGGTGGGAAACTTGTGGCCCTGTGCAATAATTTATGAAGGATTGTTTTGTGGCATGTTATTGTTAGACTAGGGCAGTGATGGCGAACCTATGATACGCGTGTCAGAGGTGACACGTGAACTCATTTTTTTGGTTGATTTTTCTTTGTTAAATGGCATTTAAATATATAAAATAAATATCAAAAATATAAGTCTTTGTTTTACTATGGTTGCAAATATCAAAAAATTTCTATATGTGACACGGCACCAGAGTTAAGTTAGGGTTTTTCAAAATGCTGACACGCCGAGCTCTAAAGGTTCGCCATCACTGGACTAGGGGCCCAGTGCACAAATCTGTGCACCTTAAAAGGAACTTTGGGCCACAAGGCTGCAGTGGGCACAGGGGTAGGTCTCTGCCCATCCTCCATACCCCCACCCAGTCCATCCCACTGCGGCTCCCACCATGTTCCGCATGTGCCCCCGGTGGTCAGTGCACATCATAGTGACCAGTTGTTTAGCTGTTCAGTCTATTTGCATATTAGGGTTTTATATATATAGATAGATGTTTAGTACCTGTGGTTGGCCCTTGTCCACTAAACACCTCTAGCACCTCCTAATCATTGTTAACTAAGCCTTTGAAGGATTTCAAAAGCACCCCAATTGAGAACTATCTTATATGATTCAAGATCCATCCTTGGTATCGGAGAGCAGCCAAACATCCCCTGAAACAATATGGGTTCTATTAGGAAGGAGGGAGAAGAGCTGCCTGGATAGATACCCACAACTGTCTCAAGCTTCCCCATGTGTAGTGAACATACAGCAATATTCCCAATACAGACCAATAAAACTGATACTAGTGCAAACAGCCTTGAAAGGCCAAAAGATTTTTATTCAAATAGTCTCCCTTTTGTGACAAGTGCTTGATAGGTCCCAAAAGGAACTTCTGATTTTCCTAAGTGGTCTTTCCAGTAAATGTGCTGCTTTATGGTTGCCCAAACCTGGAATGAACAAATCTTAGCAAACTTCAAAGCGCATCCAGAATCACCATCTCCACTCTACCACTTAGTATTAGTTACTACTTGGATTATTATAAGTAGTCTTCCCCCCCTTAAAATTACACACCTTGCTACTATTTCCCCACAGCAGTGATGAGGCCCCTCATTACTTTCTCCCTACCTTCCTATTTTACTTTGTGGTTTTTGTCCTCCCTTGCAGGAATTCTCCTAGCTTTCCACTTGACTCACTTTATTCCTAAGGTTTTGAAATTTCATAAAATAGCAGCTCCCAGCCCAGCTGGCTTGGCACAGTGGTTGAGCGTCGACTTATTAACTAGGAAGTCACAGTTCAATTCCCAGTCGGGACACATGCCCAGGTTGTGGGCTTGACCATAGGGCATGCAGGAGGCAGCTAATCAATGATTCTCGTCAATATTTCTGTCTCTGTCTCTCCCTTACTCTGAAATCAATAAAAATATATTTTAAAAAAAAATAGTTCCCTCTCAAGTCCTTATCATTTCCCATCCTCTATCCCAGTGGTCAGCAAACTCATTAATCAACAGAGCCAAATATCAACAGTACAATGATTGAAATTTCTTTTGAGAGCCAAATTTTTTAAACTATATAGGTAGGTACATTATTAACTTAATTAGGGTACCCCTAAAGCTTAGGAAGAGCCACACTCAAGGGGCCAAAGCCGCATGTGGCTCGCGAGCCGCAGTTTGCCGACCACAGCTCTATCCTATTCTTAGCAGTTATTACCACCCAATGTTTCCCCCCCACCCCCACTATGATATCTGAATATCTGTGTTATTCCTCCGACCTCCCATATCCATGTGTTAAAATCTTAACCTTAAGGTAATGGTGTTAGGAGGTGGAGCCTTTGGGGAGTGATAGGCCTTGAGGGTGGAATGGGAGTAGTGCCTTTATATAAAAAGGGCTCCAGAGATCCCTTGTCCCCTTCCACTTGTGAGGATACAATCAGAATGTGACCTAGAAGAGGATCCTTACCTGACCATGCTGGCACCCTGATGTCAGACTCCCAGCCTCTAAAACTGCCAGAAACATTTTTGTTTTACAAGCTACCCAGTCTATTTTGTTAAATCCCAGAACTGACAGTTACCACACAAGCTCCACAGGTCAGAAACTTTTGCTCACTGCTATTTCCCAACACCTAGAACAATGCTGACACAAAAGCAGTCAAATCTTTTGTCAAATTAGTGGATCTCTCCCACTGTCCAAAACGGGGTGGATTAAGGTCCCTTGAGTCCAGTTCTGTTGCAGACTTATTCTATGTGATTTTGAAGGAACTTATGTTACTACTAGAGGCCCGATGCACGAAATTCATGCAAGAGTAGGCCTTCCTTCCCCCGGCTGCCAGCACCAGCTTCCCTCTGGCACCCAGGACCCGGGATTCCCTCGAAGCCCCGGCTTCGTCCGGAAGGACATCCGGTCTAATTAGCATATTACGCTTTTATTATTATAGATTTACCCAGGTAAAATGAACTTTTTCCTCAACTTTTTTTAACTTATTTAAATTTTTTTTATTTATTGAGTTTTTAGAGAAACTGATTTGTTATTTCACTTATTTATGCATTCCTTGATTCTTGTATGTGCCCTGACCAGGGACCGAATCCACAACCTTGGAGTATCAAGACGATGCTCTAACCAACTGAACTATCTGGCCAGGGCTCACATGACCTTGTGCATGCTTTTTGTTTGTTTTCTGAACATGACACTTCAACCAAAATATTTCAGCACACATCTTATAAGAACTGAACCTTCTCCCCACACCTATTAACATCAAGAAACTTGACACTGATGTACTATTACCAAATATGTAACCCATATTAATATTTCCCTAATTGTCTCAATACTGTCCTCTAACATTTTTCATATAAGGTTAAATCAAAGAGCACACATGGCATTTAGTTATGTTTTCTTTTATCTAAGAATAGCTCCTTTGCCTTTTTATTTTACATTGACGTTTTTGAAGGGTACAGGCCATTTGTTTTGCAGATGGCCCTTTGTTTGGATTCACATGATAATTGCCTTGCATTCAGAGTCAGGTATACATTTAGTAGGAATACCACATAGGTGTTGTGTCTTTTTTTATTAAGAGAGAGAGGGACAGAGAAATATTAATATCAAAGAAGAAACATCAATTGGTTGCCTCCATACTTGCCCTGACGGGACTGAACCCACAATCTAGGTATGTGCCCTGATTGGAAATCAAACCTGCAACTTTTTGGTGCAAGGGATGATCAACTGAGCCACCCAGCCAAGGCTAGGCATGTGTCTTTATCAATGCATGAGTTACCAGGGAAAATAAGATGTCAGTTCTATGCTTTGCTCCACACTTCTTCATTACAAAGAATCCTTTAATAAGTAATATGTGAGAGTGGCTTAATTTTAACACTTATACTAGAGATTCTATCTATAGCAACAAGGAGCAGTAAAGATAAAAGCAAGTTGTTACAGATGGCACACGACAAGATTGGGAATTAAGAGACAACTCAAATTTTGGAAATAAACTGATGCAAGTAAAAACCCTTCAGTATTTCAGATACCACTGCAACTGCATTCTCCAGTCCTAAGGCTGCTTTGTAAGGGCAATGTACCTTCCTTTCTTGCCCTCTAATACCAGAACAACGAAATAAGTGAAAGTTGCCCTAGCTGGTTTGGCTCAGTGGATAGAGTATTGGCCTGTGGACTGAAGGGTCCTGGGTTCGATTCCTGGTCAAGGGCACATGCCCAGGTTGTGGGCTCAATCCCCAGTAGGGGGCGTGCAGGAGGCAGCTGATCAATGATTCTCCTCATTGATGTTTCTACCTTTCTCTCTCCCTTCCTCTCTGAAATCAATTTATATTAAAAAAATAAGTGAAAGCCCTAGAGAGAGGTGTTACAGGGTGACCTACATTACTCAACCTGTGAACCTGTGAACAGCATGAAAGAGATAATTTAGCAATTAAAAGAAAACCACTGAAACAGCCATTTCAATAAGTCAAAAACAACTAAATATCAGCAATTCCACATAGTTAAGCCATATACAATGCATCATCAAATCCACTTGCAGGTGCAAGTCAGGAAGCAAAGGTATCTACACTAAAAAGAATGCTGCAGCCAAACCAGCCTTTAATAATTGCAAGCTTCAACTCTGGTCTGAGTGAGATCAGGAAACAAGGAAATAAAATGTTCCACCTAAATCACAGGTTCTTGTAGCACTTAACCCAGAA